AGCCCTATAAGACTCTTCTTTAGAACTGACAAACAACAGTCTTGTAGAGTAGGAAGGTACTTCCACAAATACAAGCTCATCTCAATAATAACCCTAGACCTGACGGAATACATCCTAGAATATTAAAGGAAGTAGCTACAGAGATAGTCGATGCACTGGTAGTAATTTTCCAGGAATCCTTCCATTCTGGAGAAGTCCCTGGGGATTGGAAAACTGCCTGTGTAACACCTTTATTGAAAACAGGAAGGAGGCAGGAAACAGAACTGTCAGCCAGTTAGCTTAATGCCTGCTATTGGTAAAATGTTAGAGTCTATTGTAAAAGATGCAATTGTAGAGTATTTAGAAATATATAATATGTTCAAGCAGAGTCAGCATAGCTTCATGACCATAAGGCCATAAGACACAGGAGTAGAATTAGGCCATTTAGCCCATTGGGCCTGCTCCGCCATTTGGCAGGGTGGCTCAGGGCAGCATGGTGGCACAGTGGTTAGCACTGCTGCCACCCAGCATCAGTGACCGGGTTCAATACCCGCCTCAGGCAACTATCTGTGTGGAGTTTGCACATTCTCCCTGTATCTGTGTGGGTTTCTTCCAGGTGCTCCGGTTTCCTCCCAAAGGCCAAAGATGTGCAGGTTAGGTGGATTGGCCATGCTAAATTGCCCATAGTGTTTCGGTGGGTTAGCCATGGGAAATGCAATGCTACAGGGATAGAATGGATGGGATGCTCTTTGGAGGGTCGATGTGGATTTGACGGACTGAATAGCCTCACTCCACACTGTACGGATTCTGTGATTCTGTTCGATCATGGATGATATGCTCCTCAACCCCATTCTCCATGATGGGGATATCACACCTGACAGATTTACAGGAATTCTTTGAGGAAGTAACAAGCAGAACAGATAAAGGGCAAGCAGTAGATGTAATATATTTGGACTTCAGAAGGCATTTGATAAAGGTACCACACATTAGGTTACTTAAAACGATGACAGTCCATGGCAGTGTGAGCAGTAAATTACGTGGATACAGGATCGCCATCAAATAGAAGACAGAGGTGGGATAAGGGAGGCATTTTCAGGATGCAGCCTAAAACTAGTGGAATGCCACAGGGATCAGTGCTGGGGCCACCGTTACTTACAATAAAAATGAATGACTTATATGAGGAAAGTGAATGTACTATAGCCAAGTTTGTGGATGACACAAAATTAGGTGGAAAGGCAAGTGGTGAGAATGACAGAGTGTCTGCAGAGGAACATAGACAGGTGAAGTCAATGGATAAAGACTCGGCAGATTGAATATAATATGGGGGCAATGTGAGGTTCGGAAGTTTGGCAGGAAGGATAGAACATAGAACAGTACAGCACAGTACAGGCCTGTCGGCCCATGATGTTGTGCTGACCTATTATCCTACTAAGATCAATCTACCCTGCATACTCTACATTTTACTATCCTCCATGTGCCTATCCAAGAGTCACTCAAAAGTCTCTAAAGTATCTGACTCCACTACCACTGCTGGCAGCGCACTGCACACGCCCACCACTCTCTGTGTAAAGAACCTACCTCTGACATCTCCCCTATACCTTCCACCTTAAAATTATGCCCCCTCGTAATAGTCATTTCCGCCCTAGGAAAAAGTCTGTGGCTATCCACTCTATCTATGCCTCTCATCATCTTGTAAAATAGAAGAGCTGAATATTATTTAAATGGAGAAAGACTGCAGAAAGTTATAGAAGAGAGGGATTTGGGAGACCTTGTCCATGAATCACAAAACCCTAACCCTATCGCAGTTCAGCAGGTAATAGGAAAGGCAAAGTGAAAGCTGGCCTTTATTTCAAAGTTAGTGGAGTACTAAGTAGGGAGGTTTTGCTAAAACTGTACAAAATATGGTATATTTAAATGATTTAGACTTGAACGTTGGAGGATCAATAAACAAAATTGTTGGGATGGTAAAAAATGAGGATTGGCCTTAGAATATGGGTGGATACAGAATAGCTGCTCAGACAGGCTGATCAGTGACAAACAGAATTCAATCTGGATAAGTGTGAGGTGATTCACTTGGGCAGGACAAACAAGGCAAGGGAATACATGGTCAACAGTAGCACCCTGGGAAACCCCAAGGATCAGACGGACCTTGGTGTGCATGGACACCGGTCCCTTAAGGTATCAGGAAAAATGGATAAAGTCATTAAGAGGGCATATGGCATACTCACCTTTGTTAGCCGAAGCACTGCGTTTAAGGGCAGAGAGGTTTTGCTGGAAACGTATAAAACATTGGTAAGGTCACAGGTAGTGTACTTTGCACAGTTACAGAGCCCACATTATAGGAGAGATGTGATAGGGATGGAGAAGGTGCAGAGGAGATTTACAGCATGTTGCCTGGGCTTGAAAGTTTCAGTTATGAAAAAAGATTAGACAGACTGGAACTTTTCCTTAGGAGATTGAGACAGAACATGATTGAAATGTATACAATTGAAGGGCACAGATAGGGAACTTAATTTGAATTAATGATATCTTCAATGTCTATTTCCTTGCTCCGCAGACACACTAAAAATTGCAGAATGATTACGATGTACAAAGAGGCTATTCAGCCCACTGTGTCTGCACCAGCTCTCTCCAAGAGAGATTCACATCTCCCTGTCAACAACAGTGCTCGGAATCCCCAGTAAGGGCCATCAACTGGGTCTGACCCACCTCCTGCACCTCTGCCCTTACCCCCTCTCTTCCCTCATGCTACAGCGATAGGGTTCCCCTTGTCCTTTCCTACCATCCCACCAGCATCCACATCCAGAGGACCATTAGCTGCCACTTCCACCACCTCCAGTGAGATGCCACCACCGGATGCACATTTCCCTCCCCTCCCTGGTCACCCTTCTGCAGGGACCGTTCCCTCTGGGACACATAACCCACATAGAACATAGAACAGTACAGCACAGTACAGGCCCTTCGGCCCACAATGTTGTGCTGAACTTTTACCCTAATCATAAGGTCTATCTAACCTCCACCCCTACCTTTTACTATCGTCCAAATGCCTATTTAATAGCCGCTTAAATGCCCCTAATGAGGCCGACTCCACTACCCTCTCCGGCAATGCATTCCACGCCCCGACCACCCTCTGAGTAAAGAACCTACCTCTGACGTCTCCCCTATGTCTACCTCCACTCACTTTAAAACTATGCCCCCTTGTAATAGCTACCTCCACCCTAGGAAAAAGTCTCTGGCTGTCTACTCTATCTATACCTCTGATCATTTTGTACACCTCATGTCTCTGGACATTCTTGCTTCACTCCCAACACTGTCCCATAGCCTCACAGCACCTTTCCCTGCAACCGCAGGTGTAACACCTGCCCATTTCCCTCCTCCCTCCTCAGTATCCAAGGGCCCAAACATACCTTCCAGGTGAAGCAGCACTTTACCCGCGTTTCCCAGAATCTAGTCTACTGCATTCACTGCTCAAAATGTGGTCTTCTCTACATTGGGGAAACGAAGCGTAGACTGGGTGACTGCTTCACAGAACACCTATGTTCACTCCGCAAAAGAGATCCCGAGCTTTGCTTTGCCTGCCACTTTAATGCACCACCCTGTTCCCTGGCCAACATCTCTGTCTCAGGCTTGCTCCAGCAAAGCTCAGCACAAGCCGGAAGAACACCAAATCATTTTCCACTTGGGGATCTTGCAATCCTTTGGACTCTATATTGTGTTCAATAACTTTAGGGCTTGGGGAATGAGCCAGGGTGGGATGCTCTTTAGAGGGGCGGTGTGGAATTGTTGGGCTGAATGGCCTGCTTCCACACTGTAGGAATTCTATGATGATTTAAGACAACATTGTCCTAGCTAACATCAGTTCTGAGGAATGATCATTCCACCTGAAACGTTAATGCTGATTTCTCCCCACAGATGCTGCCAGACCTGCTGAGCTTTCTAAGCAATTTCGGTTTTTGTTTCTGATTTACAGCAGCCGCAGTTCTTTTGTTTTTATAAGGTTTAGAGGAGATGAGATGAAAACTTTTTTCACCCAGAAGGTGGTGGGAAACTCTTTACATGTAAGACTGGTAGAGTCTGAAACCCTTCTAACACTTGAGTATTTAGATGTTTACTTGCAATAACAAGGCATAAAAGGCTATGAGTCAAGAACTAGAAAATGGGATTGGAACAGCTAGGTGGTTGTTTTTGGTTGGTGCAGATTTAATGGTCCAAAAGGCCTTTTCTGCGTTGTAGATTTCTTTGTGTCTCTAGGGCACCCCTCAGAACACAGCTGGAATACTGTGCAAAAACAGAAGTTGCTGGAAAAGCTCAGCAGGTCTGGCAGCATCTGTGAAGAAAAAAAAAAATCAGAGTTAACGTTTCGGGTCCGGTGACCCTTCCTCAGGGAGAGTTGAGTGGATTGGGTTTGCATGTGTAGCAAATAGAAGATTCAGAGGTGACTTTATTCGTACAAACAAAATGCTTCAGGAACTTGACAGGGTAGATGCAACAATGTTGTTTCTCCCTAGTCAAAGACCAGACAGCACAATCTCAGAAAAAGAAGTCACACATTTAAGACAGAGACGAGGAGGAATTTCATCTCTGAAAGGGTAATGACTCTGTGGAATTCTTTATTGAGATTGACATTTTTTAATCAGTAAGGGAATTAAGGGTTACGGGGAAAAGGCAAGAGAGTGGAGTCGAAGATCAGCAGATCAGTCATATAACTAATAGCCAAAAATTTAAATGTGAATGAAATGCAATTACAGCTTAATGAGCTAGCCTGCTGAAAAGTCTTGTGATAAGGGCCCATTTACCATGGAATTGTTATAAATGTTCCTAAACAAAAGAGGATTGGCAAGAATCTGCATAATCAAAAGACATGTACAGACCCGTCAACCAAAATGGGAGCAGCATCACCAACAAAAAATTATACCATCTCTACTGGGTGGGAGCAACCCACATGTCTCTGGTCTTAATGCAACATCCCATCAGAGATGAGAGCCATAACCTGCAAGGATTTGGAGAAGACAGGGAGAACCTCAGAGCAGCGCTTGTATGAAGAATGACCTTGAGTCAGGACTGAGAGGACAACGGAAACCTGCAGGAAGAACCAGTATGCAAAATGGTTCCTGAGCCAAGACTCAGTGAGGACCCTTTGTAGGAAGAACCAGATCAGCTCCACCTCTTTAAATCAAAGTCACTGAATCTTATTCCTATCCTTTATTAATAAATACTCGCTTATTAGTGGATGCAATGAGTGTGTGCTTATCTGCAATTCCAGTTGAACAGAGTGGCATTCTGACCCCTTGACTGAAAGGCAGGAAACAGAGGGTGATGAGAGAGTCTGTGACTGGAACTCTGTCCTCCCTCAGTGTTGGTCCCCTTGTTGTTTGTGATGTACGTTAATGATCTAGAATGCAAGTTGGCAGGGTAGCAAATAGTGAGAGGGCCAAGTGTTAACTGCGGGAGTATATTAAAGGACTAGTCAGGTGGGCAGAGCAGTGGCCAATGGAATTCAATCCAGCTAAGTGTGAGGTAACGAACTTGTGGAAGCCTAACAAGGCAAGGGAATGGTAGGGACCTTGGCATGCACATCAACAGGCCCTGAACATAGTAGGATGGGTAGAAAAGGTGATTAAGAAGGCAGATGGGATTCTTGCCTTAATTAATTGAGGCAAAGAATGCAAAATTTGATGGGCCAAATGGTCTTTTACTGCGCTGTAAATCTCCGTGGCTGTATGATTAAGAGCAAAGGGGTTATGCTGGAACTGCATAAAATGTTAATTAGGTCAAAACTGGAGCAGTGCCTACAACTTTGGTCAACACACTATCGGATGCGAATGAGGAGACTTACCAGGATGTTGCCTAGACTGGAGAGTTTGAGCCGCAAGGAAAGATTGGATAGACTGGGGCTATTTTCCTTGGAGTAGCAAAGGTTGACAAGGAACCTGAGAGAGGTGCTCAAGATTATGAAGGGCATTGATAAGGTGGATAGGTAGGCACTTTCTCCAAATAGTACAGGGGTCGATATCAGGGGGCATAAATTTAAGGTCAGAGTAGAAGGCTAAGAGGAGAACTGTTGAGAATTTCCTTCACTCAAAGGGTTGTGGGAGTGTGGAACTCACTGGCTGAAAAGGTGGTTGATTCATAAGCAATACTGAGATATTCACTTATGTTGCCAAAGCCTCCAGGGCTATGGAGCTGGAAAATGGGATGTTGACTAGCATGGACATGTTGGGCCAAATGGCTTCACTCCGCGCTGTAGAAGTCAATCACTTCTATACCAATCTTACCTCAACTCTCATCAGTCTCTGAATTACCACTCATGCTTATTTATTAATGAAGGAGACACCTTCTTAAATGTCACCTTCAACTCTTAAATATTGTGCCTTTAACGCTTAACTTCAATAAGAGGAATTGTTGTTAAAACAAACCAACTTTTTAAGTAATATTGATGGAAAACAGAAACAAAAATGCTGCATTAAGCTTTTGATTGTTCTGGCTCTTTAGATTCTAGCTCAACATCCCCCATCATCACAGAAATGGAAGTAAGAGTTTACCTGGAGGTATAAGTAAAATTTGATGCAAACAGTCTTACCTCTCAGGAGACAACCTAAAGACAGCTAATAGCAAAGAGCCAGTCAATACATTGCAATGGGCACGGTGGGGTGGGTAGTAGGAAAGGTGTTTCAAATAGAGATACACATATTTAACATCAACCAATGTTGATGAGAAATCACTGCACAGTTGCCTCAGATTCCTCTTCTAAGATTATAATGAGCAGCAGCTGCATCTACAAAGATCAAGTCAAACTGACACAATAACAAGAGAGTGAAACTCTATGTGGCATGACACAGAGGAAGAATGAGGTCCTGTGTTAGCATAAACCACAAGAAGCATGAGCAGAAGCAGGCCATTCAGCTCGAGTCAGCTCCACCCATCACTGAGGTCATAGGCAATCGGAATCTTCAACTCCACTTTCCTGTTATTCCCTATAATCCGTGATTTCCCTGCTGATTAAGAATCTGTCCATCTCAACTTGAATATATTTAATGACCCAGCTTCAACGGCCCTCTGTGGTAAAGAAATCTGCAGATTCATTATCCTCTAAGCGCAATAATTCCTCCTTATCTCAACCTTAAATGTATGACCCCTCATTCTGAGATTATGCCCTCTGGACCTCGACTCTCTTCACCAGGGGAACCAACCTTCCTGCATCTACCCTGTCAAGTCTTCTAAGAATCTTATATGTTTCAATAAAGTTGCCTCATTCTTTTAAACTCCAATGAGTACAAGCTCAATCTACTCAACCTCTCCTCATCGGACCTGGTATCAGCAATGTGAGCCATCTCTGGTTTCCAAATGCCAGCCAATATATCTTTCATAGATAAGGGGTCCAAAACTGCTCACCACATTCCAGCTGTGGTCTAACTGGTACCTTGTATAGCTTTAGAAAGACTTCCCTAATTTTATACTCGATTCTCTTTGAAATAAAAGCCAACAGTCCAAATGCCTTCCCTATTATCCACTGAACATGGATACTAACTTTTTGCGATTGATGAATGAGGACTCTCACATCCCTCTGTTTTGCAGTTTTCTGCAGTCTTTCTCCACTGAAATAACATTCAGTTCCTCTATTCTTTGTAAAAAAAAAACCGCATAACCTCACATTCTCCCACATTATATTCCATCTGCCAAGTTTTATCCCCACTTGTTTAACCTATCCATATCCCTCTGCAGACTTTATGTGTTATTCTCAACATTTGCCCTCCCACCTACTTTTGTGCAATCTGCAAACTCTCTGCAGTGCATTCACTTTCCGAATTCCAGTCATTAATATACAAAGGAAAAACAAGAAGTAAAGACTGTTATGTATGTGCACCTTTAAGAGAGCGGGGTAACCTGGAAGTGGAAGCTAGAGGAACTACCTAGGACTGACTGTGGAGCTGAGAGGATGCACAATAAAATATTCCATGTGCATAGATCACTGAAAGTTGCCACCCAGGTTGATAGCGTTGTTAAGAAGGCGTACAGTATGTTAGGTTTTATTGGTAGAGGGATTGAGTTTCGGAGCCATGAGGTCATGTTGCAGCTGTACAAAACTCTGTTGCGGCCGCACTTGGAGTATTACGTACAGTTCTGGTCACCGCATTATAGGAAGGATGTGGAAACATTGGAAAGGGTGCAGAGGAGATTTACCAGGATGTTGCCTGGTATGGACAGAAGATCTTATGAGGAAAGGCTGAGGGTCTTGAGGCTGTTTTTGTTAGAGAG